CGGCTCCCCGCTTATGCAAATGAAGCCCGGGAAATTCAAATCCCGGGCTTCATTTGCAAGTGCGGTATGCCTACATTATCCTCCTAGTTCGAACTAGCAGGGTAGTGTAGACATACCTTAAGAGACAGAAACAGTTTTCCTAAATCTCAACAGTTTGGAACTTCTGTCCATAATGGACAGATATTTTTATTGCAAAAGATACTTTCTGTGCATCTGGTACTCTGAAGAACAGCGAGTACAGAGCATTGTGGGAAGGGTGTCAAGAACAGAAATGACTTTGAGGAGTTAGATTTAATTTCCTACTAACATCTCTCAAATCCATATACGTTTATTGAATAGAGCATCATTGAAGGTGAACATTTTTTTGCTGTCCCTCTGGAACATTTCTATGATTGAAATGACCCAAAGAGACATGATCTGTCCTTCCATGCCCTTCTAAAATCCCTTTCTCACACACATGTGGTCTACAACAAGCCAGCAGCCGTTTCGTACATGCCAACCAGAGAGTAGAATTCCAAATACTACCTTCAGGTGCAGATAGTGCTGCTAGAGTACTTAGTTTTGTGACAGAGAATATTATTTAGCCTCAACTGACCAAAACCAAAGAATCCTGCTTGCTCTTGCACTCAAATCTGGTTGGCAAGTATTCCAGTTATACACAAGTCTTTGTTTTTGGCGAGGTTTATTAGTAGTACATTCCATGCTAAAATGATACAATCATAAGCAACACTTTCTGATGTCACCAGCTGTCAAATTGTCCATTTTAGGAAAGTTAACAGAAATGGCAAACAGCTGTTGTTTTAAGCTTGAAGACCAAGGTGTTTCAAACTTGATGTGCATTCTCTTTTCTTCAATCCCTTTCGTTTCCCGTTTTGAATTATCTCATTAACAAAAAGTATGATACAATGATCATCTAAGCACATGGACTTGTTTAACTAGGTGAACAAAGATGTCTGAACATCTTTTTCAACAATGGGTGCCAAGAAATGGAATCCTAAATTTCTATTTACCATCAGCATTTTCCCAAAAAGAAGACTAATTTTAGCACCCAAAATTTACTCACTTAAATTAGTCTTTATTGATGTATAAGGGGCTTCTGGATGCACAAGATATTTTAAAATCAAGCTACTTGTTTAGCTGCCTACTATACAAACTTAGGAGCCTGAATTTAGGCTCTATTTTTTAAAATGGTGGTTATGCATATGTTGCTATTAATTATATTAATGTATACAGTTAAATAATTAAAAGGTGTTTTATTGCAGTAATGATCACAGTTGTCTCTTTCATTATATTTTCCATTCTAGAGATGAGAAATATAGCAAATATTACAGTACTATTAAATAATGTTCATTTATTAATGGCACCCACTGTACAAGAATAAAGAGAGATTTCAGAACTCCTCATAATTTTGGAACCCTTCATTGAGGGCTACATTCCTTTGTTACCAGTGCTGAGACTCGTTGACAGCCCATTTCCGTTGAGGACCTTGCTAATTGGGGTACACATTACTGTTCCGAGGTGTGCATTATTGCTCCTTTTTGTGAGTGTGGTTTCTTTGTGCAGTTGGAATTAATATTGATAAAGTTGGCATTAAGGATGAAAGAGAAGAAGCACACATTAGTTATGGTCAGGAGGCTGCCAAAAGATGACAGGTGCTAATGACATATCCAGAGCACACCAAGACAAATTATAGGAAACTTGTACTTTGACTGTTTCAGTGTAATGGAATTCATCAGGTTTAACTGATTGCTTAAGCCAAGTACAGCCTATTCTGGATATGTGCAAGACTAGATTGTAATAAGGGCTGGATTCAGACATAAGAATACAGCTGTAATTTCATTGTGCCCTCCTGTAGAATGCCTGAATTTATTCCTGTATTGATAACCTTTGTGTAACAAAAGAGGAAATTAAGGTTTAGAGTATGACCTTTAATTTTAGTGCCTAGAGGCAAGCTCTAGCTTTGAAATAAAGAAATGAACACTTTAAAAATAAAGTTTAGCTTTTCGCAAGGATTTTATTTCTGAGCTGCATCCCGACAGGAGACACACTAACAATTGCACCTGTGGACAATCTGTTGCTTTTTCATGCCAACAGTCATTTAATCATTTGGTGCTTTATTGATTTATAGTTAATGACAAAGCACCCAGCAAAAAGGCTTGGCTGCGGCACGGAGGGGGAGCGAGATGTCAGGGAGCATGCATTCTTCAGAAGAATCGACTGGGAAAAACTGGAGAACAGGGAGATTCAACCACCATTCAAGCCTAAAGTGGTGAGTGAAATGCAGAAGGTCTCCCTATTAAAATGCACTGTTTGCAGTCAAGCCTTTCTGTGGTTTGAGGCTACTGCTAACTGGATGTTATTGCAAGATAGCTGTCTCCCAATAAAAGAGGTATATGGACCAATAAATCTCATTTCTTAAATCAAGCACTTTGAGTATGACTGACTTCCATGCAATGCTACTAATATTACTCCATGCTCTCAATAAACCACCATAGGGAACCTGTCATCAAAAATGCCACAAAATTATTGCTAAGTTCCTAATTCAAGTTGAACCTCTCTAGTCCAGCGCTCTTGGGACCTGACAAGTACTGAACCAGAGAATTTGCTGAACCACAGGATGTCAGTATTGTCCAGAGGCATTACCAACACTTCCACTCCTTATTGGGCTCTTAGAAGACATTTAGGGGTAAATTAGAGCTAAATAACAGCACAGAACACTTAATCAGAGGGGTAGCCATGTAAGTCTGAATCTGCATAAACAACGAGAAGTCCTATGGCACCTTATAGACTAACAGATTTATTGGAGCATAAGCTTTCGTGGGCAAAGACCCACTTCGTCACATGCATCTAACAAAGTGGGTCTTTGCCCATTGAAGCTTATGCTCCAATAAATCTGATAGGACTTCTCATTAGCACAGAACACTGAGAGCCAGGACTGGTGGCTGTAAACAAACTTTATGGGACCACAGGAAACTTGGCCATCCTTAGGATAAATGGACATCTGGCTAACTAAAATCATGCCGGACCATAGATGTTGCCAGGCTAGAGAGGTTCAACCTGTAGGAAGTCTCTGATATAGCTGTGCTATGTGAAAACACAGTTGACTAAATGGCAGTAAATTTGCGTATATTTTTGTATAATAAAATCCCAGTATCCTTAAAGCTTTCTATGCTTGGCTGGAGTGTTGTGACCTATTCTTTTAGATGCAGGTCTTGACACCATTATCCAGGTGTTTGCAGCTTAGAAGTGCATTACTATAATGTTAGTTATATCTCAGCACCACTCAAAAACCTCATCTATCACACCATTTAGTGTCCTGCCTACTTCTCATGGGATATCTCACAAAGAGCACCTAATACAAAGGAGAAGATAAGTTAAATCTGAGAGAGAAAAAGGCCACAGCTGCCAGAGACCACTGGAAAATATCTTACTCCCAGTAGCTCTCCTTTATGGCACTTTGTTTCTGTTTAGTAGTATAACAAGATTAAAGCAATCTACATAATCATCCTCCATGCAAATGAATGCGACGCACATGAAGTGTGGTATAATTGTTTTATCAGCGTGAGTCTGCTACTCATTACTCAGGACTGTTGAAAACTGTTTTGGAAAAGTTTTTTCTTTTTAATGTTCTAATAACTGTAGAGGGCTCAGAGGAGTAGAACAATCCTAATAAATTAGTTAAGGTTAAAACTTTTCTATAAGGCTGTGTCTAGACTGGCCAGTTTTTCCGGAAAAACAGCCGCTTTTCCGGAAAAACTTGCCAGCTGTCTACACTGGCCGCATGAATTTCCGCAAAAGCACTGACTTCCTACTGTAGGAAATCAGTGCTTTTTGCGGAAAAACTATGCTGCTCCCGTTCGGGCAAAAGTCCCTTTTGCGCAAAACTTTTGTGCAAAAGGGCCAGTGTAGGCAGCTGTGATTTGTTTTGGGCAAAAAAGCCCCAATTGCGAAAATGGCGATCGGGGCTTTTTTGCGCAAAAGCGCGTCTAGATTGGCACAGATGCTTTTCCGCAAAAAGTGCTTTTGTGGAAAAGCGCCCGTGCCAATCTAGACGCTCTGTTCTGAAAATGCTTTTAATGGAAAACTTCTCCATTAAAAGCATTTCTGGAAAATCATGCCAGTCTAGACGTAGCCTAAGTGATTGAATAGCTTGCCTATACTGTGAGATCTCATATATGGACTGATTTCATCTCTGGAGATAAATGCTATGTGTTTCATTTGAATGAACCATTTCTAATAATACAAAAATCATCAGTTCTTGCTCTGCTAGGGCATTATGTGGAACTGAATATTGTTGCTCATGGAGCAGTGTTCTATAGTTAGGTGTCCAGGAGGTTGGATGGAGGATGGTATAGACTCTTCTTTTATGAAAAAGAAGGGTAAATTTGCCATACGTTCAGGGTACTGGACTTGATCGCTAGAAGTCCCTACCAGTTCTGTGATTTCTCTAGCGGGTGATCACTAGAAGTCCCTACCAGTTCTGTGATTTCTCTAGTGGGTTGATGGCAGCTGTTTGAAGCCTTTCAGAGGTTTGGACTGTGATAGTAAATATCATTAAAGGAGAGCTAGTGAACAGAGAGGGCACGTACTATCGTTGAGAGTCATAAGCATGCTTTAACTTCAACAGGAGGCGTGCTTGCATGTCAAGAGAACTACATATAGTGAATTAGTGAAAGTCAGATTTATCATAAAAAGTGAACGTCAGACACGCAATGAATTTTGTAAGTAAGTAGGAAAATGCATGTGGTTCTATTAATGCCCATTGGTAGTTGTCTAGCCTGACAGACAGCCAAGTAATTGCTCTTTTCCAGAAACAAATTATGCACATTTTTCTTCACATAATGTTTGCATCAAAATTAAAGCTAATAATAAACCGTATCTCCATTAGTATCTGTATGTCTGATCCTCCAAGGAGCTGAATGTGTTGAACTCCCACTGATGTTAAGGAAAATAATCTCAGCACTTTACACGATCTAAACCCAAGTTTTACCATATGAAAACTTATTAAAGGGTGTAAAGTACTAATAGTCTGAAATACAATCTAATTCCAGTGTGTCACATTTAATTTCAGAAAACTATGTCACAGCACCTATTTATATTATAATGGGGGATTAATCACCAGCTATGGTGTTACTTGGCTTATTTTATTTATACAGGTTTCTGTTAAAGCATACCAAGCCAAATCTAGTATTACTTTGGTTGCTTTACTTTCTCACACAATCATTTTAAATGCAAGTCTTGTGTCCCTTGTGATTGGTTTACAACATATCCTAGTAATTAATTCTATTTATATTGATTTTAAGGTAAAAATATCTTCAGAAGAGCCCATTGGTATTTTTACAGTTGGATTTAATTAAATAATTTTGCAGAAAATCTTTCTGGGTGTAAGTGGCTCATGTAACTGAAATAGGGATTCTGTTCCCTGAGGCCCAGTCCTGCAACTTTTACATGTTGAAGTAGTTCTTTCTCATATCAATAGTCCTATAAGGGACTAACCAGGAGAAAATGGATTTGCAGGATAGGATATTTGTTGCTGATGATACAGATTCTTGTTGTACTTTCCTATCATGCTGTAATTTTACACATGGTGTAACTCTCAGAAAAAATTGTTCCTGCTTTTATATAGTTGTACTGCAATATTACATGGTTTTTTTTAAATTCCCTAAAACTTTTTGTTTTGACACACATGTGATTTATTAGAGAAGTATAATAAATCTGAAATGGCTATAGAATAAACTAGCTACTGTTCCCTGGCTACCTGAGATTTAGATATCAGAGGGGTAGCCGTGTTAGTCTGAATCTGCAAAAGCAGTGAGGAATCCTGTGGCACCTTATAGACTAACGGAAGTTAGTCTATAAGCTTTCGTGGGCTTATTTTCCAACACTTCGGTTAGTCTATAAGGTGCCACAGGACTCCTTGCCGCTTCTGAGATTTAGATGTAATTGTGCCTTTTGCAGCTCCTGGAAGTATATTTTTAATTAATAAGATACTAAATATTACTTGTGTCTCTTCATTTATCAAGGAAAGTCATCAGACAATGGGTAATATTTTCAAAGGCATCTAAGTCCCATTTTTCAAATTGATATATGCACTTAGGAGTCTATGTATCATTGAATTTCAATTCGACTTAGCCAATGAGTACCTGAGTCACTTTTGAAAATTTCATTCAGTCTCTCCTACTACTGAATGTCACTCATATTTTATGTGCTCTGAATTGTAATAAAATAATTAATGTTAGATTTTCAGTGTGGAAATGCCTAAACAATCCTTTTTCTAGTAGACAATGAATGAGGTTCGTATAAATTGACTGAAGTCTGAGCCATTTATATTGCTTGCACTGAAAATAATATACCAAGAAATCTGTTATGCTGGTTTTGCTCAGGGAATAGCATCATATTTAATGCATATGTTACTCAGGCAATATCCTTATCTTAATTACATGTCCATGAGGGTTTCACATATTCTTCAAGAGGCGAAACAGATTCTTTGGTTAAAAGTGATATTTGGCCTTTGATAGTATAATTGCGTAAGTCCTGACACACAAACTACATCATCTGTATGAAAGTTATACCAGTCAAATATCAATCTGTTAATGAACACCTCACACAATTAAGCAGAAAAAACTAAAAATTGCATCCATTTTGCTTATCCTTGCAATTTGAAATATCACAGTGTTAGACATGCTACTGATTATGAATAAAGTGTAGACTAAATTGTTAAATAATCCCTTAATTACAGATCGGGATTTCCCAGGCTACTGATGCTGATTGATATCTTGATAAAGGGGATGTTTTTCTGACAACTTCCAGATGACCAGAGTAGCCCCTGTCCACTGCAGGTCCAGGTGTCCTGCAGGCAGGGGCTGCTCCGGTGTCTGGGGGGGAGCACTCTGTTCCTGGGGGCCACTCCAGCTGGAGTAGCTCCCCCTCCCACACCCCCTTTAATTGGTTAACCAGTTTCAGATGGTTCAACTCAAGAAAATTTGTGAGCATTCCAGTAAATAACTTTCCGGATACCACATTATAAAGACCTGTGTTAGAACACTGAACGATCTCCCCCAGTGGATGCAGTCTGGACTAGTGTACTTGTACCCAGTCATGGGATTCCCCTGTGCTTTTTGTCTTATTGAGTCTAGGCAAAGTCTAAGCATGGTTTCTAGGAACCATCTTGTGGTGCAGATTTTCTATCTAGCACCCCTTTTTGAGATAAGGGATTCTGCAGCCCAGCTGGCTGAAACTAACGGTAGCTCTGCCAAATTCTCCCCAGTAATGACTGCACACTTCCCAGAGTTCCACTAAAACTTGGACACTCTAGATTACTGTTTCACCCTTTGGCTACTCTGGAGCAGATAAAACAAGTAACACACACATGCTGCAGAGCAATTTCTTAATCAATTACATTTTTTTTACTCTTGGGTCTAGTTTACACTGCCCCTTACATCAAAACTCATTTCCCTCCCCCCTTGAGTGACATACCTTTCATTGACTTAGTGTGATGTAGACACTGTGTACTGGGAGATGCTCTCCCACCAAATTAACTTCTGAAGTCTGTGGGAGAGTGTTCTCCCATCAACTTTGAGACGTCACCAGACCCACTGAATCCATAATCCACCAAACTATCATAAAATTATTTTTGGATGACCTGGACGTAGGCAGGATATGAATGTTGAGCCCTACCTATGAAAAAGTCTTTTATCCGGTTACTAATTCACCAGACTTGTTTTGAAAGCTATTCACAAATGGCCATCCATCTAAACACAGAGTACCCTGCTGCAGAAACTAAATTTTCAAAAATTAGAGTAGTCTCTTGGCATGTTTTAAACAATATATAACAAGAGTCAGATAAGAAATTAAAAGAAAGCAAGAGAATGTAAGAGGGACCAAAGGTCCATCTATCTTCCAACACAGCCAACATTTCCCATTGTTTCTAATCCTGTTTCAACTTCAATAACACTATTAATAGTGGGAGCCCTAGTGTAGGCAACTGGTTGCCATAGGATTTTTAACAACCTGTTAATTAGATTCACTTTTAGCAACATTAAAAATATCTGTGGCTTATCTAACCAAATACTTCCAGTGTTACTACAACCAATGTGCGTGAACCAACATAAGCAACTGCAACAGACAGAGCTTAAGAAATCTGACTCAAGCGATGATCTGCTGTAGTTGCTGTTCATGATCGAGGGTAGGATACTTTTCATTTTGGTAAATACTAGATTAGATACAAACTTAACTTCAGATCAGTTAGTGGCTGTTTGTTTAGGAACACACATGGAATACAATTACAAGTTGAATCTCTCTAGTTAGTTCAGCACTCTGACTGGTGTTGAACCCGAGAATTTGCCGAACCATGAGAGGTTAATATTTTCTAGCAGCACTACCAGCACTTTCACTGTTTACTGGGCTCTTCGAAGACATTTGGGGTAAAGTTAGAGCTAAATAACAGCACAGAACACTGAGCGCCAGGACTGCTGGCTGTAAACAAAATTTCTGGGATACGGGAAACTTGGCCACACCCATGATAAATGGACACCTGGCTAACTCAAATCATGCCAGACCATGGATGTTGCCAGAGTGTGCTGGACTAGGGAGGTTCAACCTGTAGTAGCATGAGCTTCCTTAAACTATCTCTTATCACAGTGTACATCTTAGGAAGGTTATGTACCAGCACAACCCAGTAAGAAAATATTTGCAGGTTCTAGATTAAATTCTTCTGCAATTTTACAGGTATTTGACCTACAGGCTCTGATAGCAGCTTGAGGAAGACATCATCTTCCGATATATTTTTAGAATATCCTAATTCTAATCTATGCAACAGGGAACTGAGACTAACCCAAGAACTTTTTGTCGAGACATAGAACAGCTGGGGACTTTCAGGCCTGGGGGCCGGATGTGGTCCCTGGCTTGCCTGGATCTGGCCCCAAGGCCTAGGGATCACCCCCAGCTCCTGTGCCCCCACACCGCCGCTCTATTGCAGGACCAGAGTGCACAAAATCAACTAGCCTTGGCCCCCCTAGGCTCTGGTGTGCGAGGTGGGTGAGGGTTTGGATTGTTTGGTTGGTGTTTGTTTTTTGTGGGTTTGGGGGGGGGTAGGTTTTTTTTGCTTCTCACTTGTGTGTGGCCCCGACCCAAAAAAGGTTCCTCACCCTGACATAGAACAACAATCTTACTCCTCAGAATTATGCCAATTATAGCAGTTTTGTGCTAAGTTTTATAAAGCAGGTGGTTAGACTATCCATAATTGAATTGTTTAAACGGTTCATCTTTGCATTATCTGATAAGCTTCCACTGACTTGAAAGAACTTACTGGGCATCATTTTTCTTTTGGAGGCATGTGATGCATTTGTCAAAGATCTTTCCTGCTGCTTTGAATTGATTGCCAGGGCTATAGATCTATGTGATCGTTGGAACATGCCTGTGGAACATGTCTGATTTCTCACAACTCTGAAGATGGAGAATTTTACACTTTGCTAAAATTCAATTCTGTCCATTCTTGTTCTTCAGAACTTCTGTACCAAAATGCACTGGCTTCAGTGGGTATCAAGGTCCTCGGTGAGCACATGTTCAGAACGCTGGGTGAAATGATAAGCAAACGTAACCTAACTCTTTAACCAGCTGGAGTGGTTTTCTGCTTGTGTTAGTAATAAACTGAACAAGTAGCCTTGTGAATGCCATAGTCAATTTCCAGAGCATGCCATTTTTAAATCATAAGAGATCTTGTGCCCAAGAGAGCAAAAATTATTTGCAGCTTTACTTACACTTTGTTACTATTATTATTTATGTGAAGTGCTTTACAAGGCAGATATAATGTGAAGACTTGTACTATTGGCACACGCCACCCAGTATAGTGCTATACCACGAACATCTTTGAGAGAACCCGATTTGCCCTTATGTTCCTTTAGGTTTCTCCAGAACATACAAAGTCCAGTATTAGCCAAGTGTGCACTCATTTTCTCCCAAGCTGTTTTGTTGTGCTCCTTCCTTTCCTCCGTCCCTTTTTACTTGCTAATAATGCTGCTTTGCACTGTTTTCTGCCCTCCTCAATGTTGCCTTGGACTTTTCATGAAAACTGAACTCCT